ATGTCTTTCTGTCGAGTTTTCCGATTTCTCTTTGTCACATTTCCTGGCTCTGTAAAGTGTAAATTATTTCTTCTTTACGTCTATATCATGAATATATTACAACTGTATCGCTTCCTCCCGTATGCCCTTTTTAGACTTTCTCATTCCTTGTGCTTTACCCTGTTGTTAAAGCTCTGTTTTGCTAGTAAAATGACTTACCGTGTAGCGACATTCTCTCACACACGCACATAAAATGTCACTAACATGAAACATTTGAACTTCCCGTGTGGGTTCAGGAGCCCTATTGTGGATTAAACAAGCCTCTGAAACAAGCATGTCATAGGAGTCGACTCAATGGGGGACATCATTCGAAGTCGGAGTACATCTACCTGAGGGAAAGGATCCAAGAGGCGTATCACAAAAAGATGTGCAAAAAAATTAAATAAATAAATACAAGTATCTGCACGCAACAGTGAGTCTCCGGAACAAGACTAAAGTCTCGATGTGGACGAACAACCAGAACTTTGTCCTAGAGTTTACAGCTGATAAACGAGAAGAAGAAGAAGCTGTACACTACGAAGTACCGATATCTCTACAAAAATGTGGCGCTAGTGTTATATACCGAAATCCACCTGTTGAGGTTGGAGCCCTATAGAAGGATAGGGAAATAAAGAATAGACCTACTGTCACTAAACAATCTTGTCGCATAAGGCAACTAATTGTATGTTTGCTAAAATAGGATTCGGCAGGGCAGGTGCTGCTGATGATGATGAAATAGAATTTGTAAGGTCGAGAAGTGCAGAGACTTGTATCACAGCCTAGACGTAAAAATCCAACACTAAAAGTGCCATGTTAAAAAAACGCAGAAAATGATAAACATTGCTAAGATGCGGAAAAAGACTCTTTACCTATTTCGTTTTGCCATACACGATAAAAAAAAAAAATACTTTCGGCTACATATCCTGGTTTTATCGACGATAACTACGAGACACAACCTTTAAAAAACAACGCGCACAAGTGGATAGCAGCATACAGTTATTACCAAATGCATGAATTAATCTAGCAACAGAAAGTGTATTGATTGGCACTCCTAGAAAGAAGTAGAAAGATAGAAGAACACACTAGACAACATAAAAATCGAAAGCTATGGTTACCGTGCCGGGAATTGAACCTTTTATTTATTACCAAATGTACAGCTATCTATCAAACTTTAAGAGTGCGTATTAGGAGAGTCACAACGAATGGGGGGAGGGTAATGAGACGGTTATGTGAAGAATGACCATGGAAGTAGCCGCTGCCATCAGGGAACTCTCATGGGCAGTAGAACAAGCAGGCTACAGGCGGTGATCGTATCAGACTCCACGAATATGCTTCAGAAAATCACAACAGGCAGTCACAGCTCTGCATATGCAAACAGCTTTGGGATTTCGCACTTAGCACCTCTGACTTATCCATTTATCCCTTTAAAAAATTGACCACGATTAACCTACTGCGAGCAGTATCTGCTATAACGATGGTCAGGTTTCTTTGTACCAAGTATGTTGGATAAAAAGTGGTAATTGCACCAAAACGAGTGGCTTGGACTGGTACTCTAGCACCTAGTGAGGATTGTTGGGGATGGGGGTTGGTGTGCACGATATATTTATATATATATATATATGTGTGTGTGTGTATAGTGTGTGTATATATATATATATATATATATATATATATATGTGTGTGTGTGTGTGTATAGTGTGTGTATATATATATATGTATATATATATATATATATATATATATATATATATATATATATATATTATATATATATATATATATATACACACTATACACACACACACACACACATATATATATATATATATATATATATATATATATATATATATATATACATATATATACATATATATATATATATACACACACACATTTGTGCACCCTCGTCAGAATGCATGTAGATATGAATGAGCAAAGTGTAATGAGCGAGCAGACCAACTGTTTCACGACACAGCATGCAGGAAGTTGCATGGACAGAGCTGATTTCATCAACGCAGTGTGGTCTAGCCTGGCTGATAATGACGAAACTCAAATGTTAACACGATTACATGACCTGAGAGAAAAGCCGGGCGGATCACGTCTGTGAGGTCAAGATAGGAGACATTGTTACCAATTTATGAATGGGCCGGCGAGTAGAGGCAGTTTAGGGTGGCTGCTGCATTAAAGGACTGATCCGAGACGCCGAATGTTAAATGCACCTTGTGCGGTGAGATCGCTTAAAATGGTATAATATAACAAGTATTGCAATAACAAAGCATGTCAACCCATCTTAAGCCTTAAAAAGGTTTTCTTCATAACTACCCCTTCTACTGTAGCCACAATCACCATTATTGCTACTTCTGTGCTTTTATATAACACGAACGCCACGATGGGAGCATGCATAGTAGGTGTCTACCCATTTGCAGTAGGTGTCCCCTGTCAACAATTGTTTCGGTCCTTTTACCTCCCTTGACAATCTTAAGGAACTGGCCGACTCCGGTCATGACTCTCGGGCCTCGGACATCTCCTGCTGCACTCATTGGACATTCGAACAAAACGTTAGGGTAATTGCAACAGGTACTGCGGTTATGGTGGTATCACTGCTGTGGTAGTAAATTAAGCGCCTACCTACACAGCGAGAGTGACAGATGAATGGTTATTTCATGGAATAGATGTATATCGGAACGACTTTGCCAGGTCGCAGTATCACAGACAGACTTGATCGGACAACTGACTTTAAGGATTTAAAAGTTCCTTTTCATTAGGAGCTTAGACCAGTCTACTGAGGCCTATCCCCCATGTTTTTCCGTTGTGCCCACAACCATCTGGAAGCTCTCTGCAACTTCGCACAGTCGCTTTAGTGCCGTTTAGCTCGCTATCTCGCAAGCCCAGATGCTTTAGTACATTTTATGTAGAGCTGGAGATTCGCCCTCTTGCGCCCACCTCGAGGGCGAAGAATTTTACTGCGCACCCGTCATTAATACTCAGACTAACTAAAAAGACCACTGTACTTCTCGAGCTTGTACAGCTGGTTGTCTTAGATTCCCGACTCGTACGGCACGCTCAGCTCCATGAGAATGAGCTGACTTTCTGCCGCGAGTGCAACACCATATCTGGCTTCAGTCCAGTATTTCGGATTAGTTCGAGGTACCTCTCAAAACCACACAGGTCAACGTTGTTCTCTCTTCTCCGCCTTTGCCCCATAAATACTCCCCTAAATCATGGACGGCAAGCTTAAGGCATCCAGGGACGCCCAGAATGCCAACTTTTTTCACTGTTGTGTCTGTATACTTATATTACTAACACTGCTAATGCTGCTGCTGTTGCTGATGCTGCTTTTGCTGCTACTACTACTTCTTATACTACTACTATTGCTGCTGCTGCTACCACTACTTCTTCTTCTACTATTAGTACTTCTACTGCTACTGCTGCTACTTCTTCTTCTACTGCTGCTTCTGCTACTACTGTTACCACCACTAACACTACTGCAACTACCACCACTTCTACTGCTGCTAACACTATTTTTTCGTCTTCTTCTACTGCTGCTGCTTCTACTACTACTACTACTACTACTACTACTACTACTACTACTACTACTACTACTACTACTACTACTACTACTACTACTACTACTACTACCACTACTACTACTACTACTACTACTACCACTACTACTACTACTACTACTACTACTACTACTACTACTACTACTACTACTACTACTACTACTACTACTACTACTACTACTACTACTACTACTACTACGACTGCTACTACTTCTGTTACTACAACCATTATTATAATTTTACAGCATTCGAAATCAACTTAGCCTTGATTTGTAAACATGCTACAATTGATCTTTTTTTTTTTCATGTCAACCTTTGACTAACTTTTCAAATATATTCTGACATACCAGGTCGCCACCACAGTGAGAAGACTGCCTTTGACACCAGTGCTCTAGGCCTAGTGTCCTGAAACTCGAGTGGCGTGACTAGGTTCTGGCAACAAACAAACAACAGGCACCCGCGTGTAGCAAGCAGATTTCAGAAGTTTAGAGACCGTGAGAGGTTTCAGTTGATTCTCTGCGCTGGGCTGATGACATGGTCGTCTTGGTGGACTCTGTAACGGCGGTGAGAAACACGTCTGCCTGATTCATTTAGTAAATGTTGGCACAGCTTCACTTCTGTTCTCTTTCTGTTGATCGTCTTCTGCAAGATTCAGGTGTTGGGCTATTTTCGGTGATGAGGAAAACTGGAGACAGAAAGACAGATATATGTCTTAAGAAGAGATACACATACAACTTCTGTTGACACTCAAACAATACATATGCAGACAGAAAGACAGATGTCTTAAAAAGAGATACACATAAAGCTTTCGTTCACACTCAAAGAATACACATGGAAACAGAAAGATACGTCTATTGAGAGTTGAAAGAACAGAGGTATAATTAGTACTCAGAGAACAACTTTGGTGACAGAAAGATGGGTGTCTTGAGAGTATAGATAACAGAAGTAAAATTATTTTGATCGTAATTCAACATAGAAATACAAGTGTATTGATAGAACAAAACTGTAAATCTATTGCTACTTAAAAAATTAGAAAAGCACAACAGTAAGTGAACCCTGTGAGTTCAACTGACTCTCCAGAATATCAGAATGAATCCAGCAAAAGTACACTGTCATGTCGGTAGACGCTAGCAAAACATCTGCTGTCACTGCAGCTGGTCTATTTTCTCATGCATTGCAACAACAGTGATACAATAAAGTTGACACTCTTACCTTTAGTCACGTTACTAATAATAATGAGCAAGAAATTAGGTTAATATCAGTTGTAAAAAACGCATCTGATGAGTCTGTTGAAAAGCAAGAAATCAAATACAATAAAGTGTAAATTTCTCTAGAATAGTAAAATACAGTGTGGAAAAAATCGTTCCATTTATAAACAGGATTTGTGCTTACGTCACGTCTACACTTGTCTTCATGGGACCATCATTTAGTGAACGTATCATGACCTATGACCTCTCACAAACTTGGAACTCCAGCCTCTCTACCAACAATCAAGCGATGAACTGGAGTTACCTTTTCCTCACTGACGTGCCTGGTAACTATTCACTAGAAGACGTGACAAGTGTGTCTACTGTAGGAGGATTTCCCACAGTCCCACAGAGTGTCATCGGCGTAGTCCGGAGAAGAATCAACGAAACGGTTGTTCCTGTAGCCATCAGTGTCGGAATTGTAGGAAATCTCTTACTGGTACTCGTGTTCACGTGCACACCTTTACGCACCAACGCCATCTGCAATTATCTGACAGCGCTAGGAATTTCAGATTTCATTTACCTTATGTCTTGTCTAGCTGTCTGGATTACTGGGCAGGGCATCAACCTCCAGAACACGATGGGCGTCTGTCAGATCACTATGTTTGTTCTGATGTTGTTCCGTTTTCTCGACACATGGTACTTATTTGCCGCTCACGCTGAAAGGTTGGTCACGCACTTCGGATCGTGCCGTGCTCATAAATGGTGCACAACGTTCCGAACCAAGTGTATTATTCTAGTGATCTTCGTGTTTTCGCTGGTCGGCTTCTCACATTATATGTGGGTTTACGTGGTGACAGAGTGGAAAGGCACAACCTCCTGTCTACTCATGCAGGAGAGTAGGAAACACATTGCGGAGTTGGGCAAAGTCGAAGTCCTCATCGCTTCGTTTCTGCCCATGTTACTTATTGTCATCATCGATGTTTCGCTCTTTGTCAATAGCGTAGCCAAATATGGCAAGGAATTATTCCACTCAGACAAGAATACGAAGACCACAGACTCTGAGTGGAGGGGCGAATACACCCTTGCTAACGAAACGGCACCAGCATCACCTTCTAATCAATGTCAAGACTCGAACCAGCCAACGCCAGAGTTTGACATTTCCACAGAAAATACTCGAGTAACAGTTTTAGTTATAATAGCAGGACTCATCTTCATTGGACTTACTCTGCCATCTTCCATCTTCCGCGCTAAGCAGTATTTCAGCGAATTGGCTCGTCCGTCGAACAAAGACATGGAGATGATGATCTTCGCAGAAGAGATCGTGAAGTTCAACAGCGTCTACAAGATACTTCTCTACCTGGTCTTGTTGAAGAGTTTCCGGCATGGGTTGCTGCACTTCTGCAGGTATTGTTTCTGGGGATCCAAAGCGGAGACAAACTTGCAGGAGACTTCTGTCTGAAGGCAACAAACGCGTCGTGTCAGTGGCGAACAAGTGACATCTTGAGCAAGATATTGCTGTTTGTTGTGTTCCTTCGATATTGCTCTTCTTTCTTGTTCTTCTTCTTTTTTCTTTTTTTTTTTAAATTATGGATTTTGTTTCTATATTGTTGAAGTTGCCCTATTTTGATCTTCCGAAATGTGGACACTTCCATTTTTTTTTTTTTCATTTTTAGAATGAGGACAAGACTTCTAACATTAACTTCCTTTTACACTGTGTATATATGTTTGTGAAGATCAGCTTGTTTTTAGACTGTCTTTATTTTGTATCAAGTTTCCATAAAACTGACTGCATGTGAAATGTTTAAAATTACTTTTTAAAACTGATATTGACTTGACTGAATCCACTTAAAGCGATTTCTCGCACTGGTCGATGGGACATGAATTTAAGAAAATAAGTCTTTCAGCAAAGCAGTCTGTGGTGGAATGGCTAGGAAAAACTGTTCTCTCTTAGCGATTTCAACTAGAGCACATTTACGACTCATTCAGTGTTCAAGTGAAGCCATTTTATGTTGGCACTAGATTTCTATAGGTTGAAGCAAATTTCTCCAGATTGTCGTAATTATCAAAGCACTTTAATTTCTTTTATGAGGCACCAGTGTCAGTGGGAATGCTGCTGAAAGCTTCATCACTTTCCCACACATCACAAAAATCAAGCCACCTGAAACATAAGTAAATTCAAACAGTGGTAAGACCCTAACTGTGGGGTATTCTAAGCATCCTTTATAAATGGCTTGCACCTGACTATAGACCACTTTACCTGTGTCTTCATAGCCATCACTTTCCAACTCTCTGAAGATGTCTTTCACATTCAAAATAATGAGGATGTTTTTTTTAATCCCCTTTCTTCTAAATTGTCTTGCAAGGATGAGAGAATCTTTACAACATCAATCAACTAATTATTTTCCTGTCTATTTACCTGATTTGAGAATAAAACATCACTTATCACATAGTGGTGCCGAGTGGGTCTCTGGGCGTCATTGTAGGTGAAAACATCACTTATCACATAGTGGTGCCGAGTGGGTCCCTGGGTGCCATTGTAGGTGAAAACATCACTTATCACATAGTGGTGCCGAGTGGGTCCCTGGGCGCCATTGTAGGTGAAAACAATAACAGACCAACTGCCTCTTTAATAAGCGTGTCGCAGGAATCGACAAGGGTTTCCCCTCAAGTCTGAGAGCACCTGCTTGAGAGGCAAGAAACCAACAGTTTACAAACTAGTAAGCCAGATCTATAGTCAGGATGTGTACGCAACACTCAGGTTCTGGAAAAAACTACAGCCTAGAAGTGGACGAGCAACCAGAGAATTCTGTCAGATTTTACAGCTGGCGAAAAAGAAGAAGAAGAAGAAGAAGTAGAAGAAGGAGAAGGAGAAAAAGGAGAAGAAGAAAAAGAAGAAGAAGGAGAAAAATAAGGAGAAGAAGAGGGAGAAGAAGAAGGAGAAGAAGAAGAAGAAGGAGAAGAAGGAGGAGAAGAAGGAGGAGAAGAAGGAGGAGAAGAAGAAGGAGAAGGAGGAGAAAAAGGAGAAGAAGGAGAAGGAGGAGAAGGAGGAGAAGGAGGAGAAGGAGGAGAAGAAGGAGAAGAAGAAGGAGAAGAAGAAGGAGAAGAAGAAGGAGAAGAAGAAGGAGAAGAAGAAGGAGGAGAAGAATGAGGAGAAGAAGGAGAAGAAAGAGGAGGAGAAAAAGGAGAAGGTGGAGAAGGAGGAGAAGGAGGAGAAGGAGGAGTAGGAGGAGAAGGAGGAGAAGGAGGAGAAGAAGGAGAAGAAGGAGAAGAAGAATGAGGAGAAGAAGGAGAAGAAAGAGGAGGAGAAAAAGGAGAAGGTGGAGAAGGAGGAGAAGGAGGAGAAGGAGGAGAAGGAGAAGAAGGAGGAGAAGGAGGAGAAGGTGGAGAATGTGGAGAAGGAGGAGAAGGAGGAGGAGGAGAAGGAGGAGAAGAATGAGGAGAAGAAGGAGAAGAAAGAGGAGGAGAAAAAGGAGAAGGTGGAGAAGGAGGAGAAGGAGGAGAAGGAGGAGAAGAAGAAGAAGAAGGCGATAGTGTACATACACTTTTACTTGAACATATTTCAAAGAAGTGTTACAAAACAACAGGAGGCTTGTCACAACACAAGAAAGAATGATATTTGCGCTGGAAACATCTGGGTAATTTTCTCTCATATACAAACAAGTACAACTATAATGAAGGTAATTAGCCTACTGTACTATGGTAAAGTAACTGTTTATACTCTACCTCAACGAATTTACAAGATCCTTCCAGAGATTCTACACAAACATTACATACTAATCATCATCATCAGGTGACTTGCCGACTGGCGTGGGTTATCATGCCTCTCCACAATCTTGGATCTCCTGCAGCATGTATCAGTTTGTGTGCTGACACACCTCGATGCCATGCAACAAGACTGTCAAAAATCTTCTGTCATTGTCTTCCTCTATCTCGAATTCCACAGATCTTTCCAGTGGTCATAACATGTTCCATTTTCCCTCTCGTCTTAACATGGCCAAACAATTAGGACTGTCTCCTTCTGATGTCTGTGATAAGTTGTCTTCATGCTCCAGCCTCTTTCAAAACCTTTTGGTTGCTCCTTTTTAGCTGTCCAAGGTATTTTAAGCATTCTTCTGTAAAACAAAATCTCTGAGACCTCGAAATTGTTTGGCCTGCCTAAAGATTGTTCAGGACTCACAGCCATATGTTAATACTGGATGAATGTAGCAAGCAAGAATTCCTTTTCTCTGAATGACAAGGATATATTGCATATGATGTTCTTCATTTTATACAATGCAGTTTTTGCCTGTACTGTTCTGTTTCTTATCTCAGTAATGAATCTTCCGTCTGATGTTATCCGTGTGCCCAAATACTTAAATTGCTGTACTTGTTCCAAAATTGATAGGTAATTAAATACGAACTTGATAAATTAAGGACCGCAATTTTATATCCAACAAATCTGTCCCGTGTTAAATACAGATGTCTGGGATATGTGCCGGACATCCTATCCCAGTTATTGATAACTTCCGAATCATTCTCCTAAACCGGGTTGATGTTCCATCCCATCAGGACTGCACAGCGAGCGATAAGCACCTGGTGACCCAAAGTGTCACCATTCTAGTGAGAATCACCCCAGAGGGCGAGTCCCAGAAACCCCATTCAACCGTTCTGTTTTATTTAGGGCCCCCATGACAACCGGGGTGGGGCTAGTAAAAAACCCAAAAAATTGCGTCCTTTTAAGTGGCATATGTTTCCCCTGAATGCTATACACGTGTCCTTATGTCTAAACTCCTGTAAAGTTTCGCTTTTATAATTTGAAATTGTTTTAGATTTTTTCAACAAACCTTAACACAGATACAACGTGGTTACCACAAGATGTGGCTGACATAATGTTAACGTTGTTGTGGCTGGTACAATTTTGGACAAATCTGAAATGTTCGAAATTGTTTGCGGAAGTTGTTTTACTCGCAAATGAATTAGGTGTCTGGCAACCTTTATTTATATTCGTTGTTATTACTGTTGTTATTGTAATGCTTTTATTGATGTCCTTGTCATCGTTGATTTCATTGTGCTTTTTGTGTTCCTGCCCCCTCCTCCTCCTCACAGTAGTGTTCTATGTGTGTATGTGTGTGTGTGTGTGTGTGTGTATGTGTGTGTGTGTGTGTGTGTGTGCGCGCAAATCACCATCACCACCACCATCATCATTGTCAATTATTTAATCTTAGAATAAACGCAAAAATTTTGTGACATTTGGTAATCTTCATGGGAAAAGAAAAAAGGGGAAGACAAAAAGAGACATTCCACGTGGCATAATTCGCTACGACTAGAACCCGGATTTGATTCAAAACTGTGAGGTGGCAAACCATAATGGGCAACAGTATATATATATATATTTTTTTTTTCATAATATTTATATAAAGTAAATAACCCTTTTCCACGCCTTTAGGCGTATAGTTCATATAAAAGTAGATCGATATTTTAAGACCAATCGGCACAAGATGGGTGATGTGGTCAGCATCACGCCAGCCGCCTTTACGTTCCGGGACTACACCCAGTACCCACTTTTGGCTGGGTCGACCTAGGAGCCAAGGTCACTCTAAAAATAGTCCCGACTCCGCCAGGGAGCGAACCCACGACATTCCGATTCGCGGCGAGCGTCTAGCCGCTCCACCACGGCGACTTCCATATATATACAAGTGTAATAAGACACGTTACTAACTAGACACCCCTATCAAAGGTGTCTTCTTAAGCTATGCCCATCGTATAGTTTACAGAAGTGCATATTAAACCCAGCATAGGTCCAATAACAAATACAACAGCAATTATAAACAAACCGGCCTGTAATGCCCTGTCTGGCATAAAACCAATACACAGTAGGTGGCATTTTATTGTAAGTCATGAAGAGAACCTGCAGATGGCATCCTAACAGTATCAGATAAAAGATGTATTAAAGAAGTTAAATGTAAAAGGTACAGGTAAAGTCGGGAGATGAGAACCAGCATCACTGCACACGTTTATAAACCATAAGTACTCTGCCACCAGTACGGACAGCTGATAAGAAATTGTCCGCACGTATCTCTGTAGCCACAACGAAGTTCCTCCATTTACCCCAGAGTGTCATTTCTGATACATATTCCCTAGAGGCTGGGTGAACCTCCTGAACCACCCGGTTTCGAACACCGACCATGGGCTGCAGTGATTCGCAGCTGTTTTCGAAAGCGAGTCTTCTATCGACTGCGCTAACATGGCCTCTAGAAGTTGAATGTATAAGGTCTAAAGAAAGATACTTACATTCCTTTCGTACTTAAAAATTAAATCTAAAACATAGAAAGTGACGTGGCGTACACCAGTCTGAACTCAGATCGTGTAGAGAATCATGGCTCGAACAGAGCCTATTTTAGCAGCTTTTGGCCATCAAAATCCTCAGTCCAACATCGAGGTCACAAACTTTATCAAATTATGCTGTTATCCCTAGAGTAATTTAGTCTAACTCAATCGGTAGACCGGTGAGGTTTTGAGGTCAATTAAATTTGTTAGACCCTACATCTTTAATTCAAAGGGAAATAATTCTCTTCTACGATCATGCGATTATGATAATTACTTATTACAGCAATTATGATATAAGATAGCTCTTATCGAACAGGGATCGCCTAGTTTTAAGGTTAACCTTAGAATAACAATAATATGGTTGAGACTGAAATTGACTTTGTGTAAACAAATAATAGGCTGATTTATTTTAAGGGTACACAGTGAAAGAATGTTTAAGTATTTCAGACTGTATGCAGTAAGTTTAATTTTGGTTTGTTTTCTGGATAACCATGACTACCAGTGTCACACGGCATGGACTTTAAGAAGCAGACCTATGAACAAAAATAAACAGATGGGAAACCGCTAAGGTCATAGAAATACCGTTCATAATGGCAAACGGCATGGCACTTTATAATGATTGTTACATGCGTCAAGGGGAGACTAAAATGTTAATTAATTTTTTTAAACTTTGCCCATTTCTGGCATTGATGCCGACACGAGGTTGTAGTGGTCTTCTAAGCGGTCGACTAAACAGAGGTCACCGACAAACATTGATTCCATTTAGCTCGGTTTCAGGCAGGAGACTCGCAACTGACAACATTTAGTAATGCCAATTATATAAATCACAAAGATCCTTTGTTTTAAGGTAATCCATTTCTGTTTTACTGCCTGAACAGCTGAACAATAATACTACCTTAAGATCCTATTTAAATTCTATAGGATAGTTAGTACGAAAAGTTTCTTATTCAAAAACACAAATTATAAGTAACTGTTGCTTCTGGCAGTTTCAGGATCGTTAGTACAAAAAGTCTCTTATTAAAAAACGCATATTATAAGTAACTGTTGCTTCTGGCAGTTTCAGCTCAGACCATCCTTCGACTCAGTTTCGAAGTAAGAATAGTACAACAAAACTAAAGAGGAAATATTCTTTAATGAGAAGCGTGAGTCTGATTGGTTGTCACATAATTTCTTTGTTTATTTTGACAATTAAGCAGTGACTGTTCTTTTAACATGTTACACTACATTGATTAAGGTACCAAAAGCTTTTCAAAAATTGTATTTTTCTGTCTCTCTCTCTCTCTCTCTTTTACCCACTCTCAGCCCCCCTCTCTCTCTGCCACTTTCATGCAATGCTTTCCAATCAATGTTCCTCCCCCTGGGACATTGGAGCGTCCCACTAAATATGAATGAGGTCGCTACCAGCCCCCTGGACAGTCCATGGGGGTGGTTGCGGCCATTTTGGGAAACACTTGTATACTTCAAGAGGTGTTACTTGTCCCAACACCTGGTTTACTTGAGCACATCGTGCGTTGCTTTGAACGAAAAAACAGTGAAACACAATGCATACATTACCGGCTCTGATTCTTCCCTGAAGGGAGTCACGGTAACGAAGTGGTTGGACGCTAGCGTGACAGACTAAAATTCTTGAGTTTGAACCCCCATCCAGCTGGATTTTCTGAAGAGAAATTGATTATTACCTTCTACGTCGACTAGCACCCTAAAATCTGTTTCGGTAAATATGGGAAGTAAAAGCAGCCGTCAAGATGTTGACCACATCACAAAATGAGTGCCATTTGGTAGATACAAATACGAGCCTCACACCATAAAAGATGATGCCGCGATCAGGATAAGAATTTAGTACTTTTGGTCGGCAGGTGACCGTTTAGCCACTAGGATAACTTGGCATGTGGACAAACTAATTCGAATACTCAGTGACACACTGGAATACTTGAGGTAGCTTCATTTAGATATTTTCTCCAGGTCATTCTGGTATGTTGGAAAACGAGAATACACATAGACTTGCTGTTATTTGCACCAGCTCATGGTCAAATGATGTGTGATAAGCCATATGTTGTGATAGCCATTTGGGAGCGAGTGAACAGTGTGGAGACACAATTAGATCATTACGGTCTGAGGAGAATGGAGATGTGGGATTTACCAGGGGATGTGGCTGACGCTCAACACTCAAGGAAAAGGCGAGGCTGATGTACAATCAGAGAGTTACCGATAACATCGGGATTGGTAATCATCGTTTGCTGTTGAAGATGGAGTCAGAGCGCTTATGGAAGTGTCCCCAGTGCTATGATGTCAATTCTTACGATTCAA